CACAGGGGGGCACAACTTCCAGGCCCCGCCCCCAGCAGTCCCCCCACTCCCCGGCCCGCCCGGGCCCTGCCCACCCGCCGACGTCCCGTTCCGCCCTCGCCCCTCTGGCTTCCCATGTGGGCGTCCTGTCCCCGCCCCCCACAGAGTACTCAGGCCCCGCCCCCGCGGGCTGCTCGCTCCCCCGCCTGCGCCCGCTCCCCCCACGTGGGGCGTCAGGCCCCGCCTTCTCCGGGCGGGCTCCCGGCCCCCTCTCCCGGTCACCTGTCCCGGAGACCCCGCGGCGTCCGCGACTCCAGCTCCGTCGGCCTCTGCGTCCGCAGCTCCCGGGCCGCGCGCGTCACTTCCCGCCTGCATCACGTGAAGAGGAGAAATAAGGAGGGTCACTTCCGGTCCTGCAGGCCTGTTTCCGGAAGCCTTAAAGGCGCCGCACTCCCGGGGATAGACGTGGGGGTGGATGGAGCTGGTCTGCAAGGGTGTTCTGCAAACTGGTTCAACTTCCATCTGTCGGGGTTGCCTCCTTCCAGGGAAAGGAGACACCATCCTCTCTCTGTCTTCTACATGGTCCCTTATTTCCTGTTTCCAATAAATAGGTGCCAGACATTGGGCAATGACTCCTTGAAACCTGACCTACCAGGCTTGTGCTGAGGGAGAGGGCAGGTGGGGGCGGACAAAGTGATGAACGTGGTACACCCCATGCCCTACCCTCGTGAGGGAAGGCACATGTAAACGTGAAATAACAGAAATGTGGGCGATGCCTTGTGAGAAAGGTAAGAGGAGAGGCCTGAGGGTGAGACAGGGTGGCTATTCAGTCAGAGACGCGCAGCCTGTGCAAAGGCCCTGTGGTGAGTGAATTCGATATATTCTAGGAACTGGAAGAAGCTCAGAGATCAGCTGGATTTGGCTATAGAGTCCAGGGGATTACGGGCATTAACCAAAACTTAGACATAATAAACCAATTATTATAACCGATGGTAAATGCTATGTAATACCTTTGCTGGAGGCCATGACAATTTTAAGTGGGCAGACCAGATTCCCTGAGGTTGCCAATAATTTTATTTTGTGATTTAAAACATGGAAAATGCAAGTACCTGGTAGTCCCTTGCCTTATGCGGCTACTGTTAACAGCCGGTCAGAGACCTTCTCTACACATACAACTTAACTCTCATAATTCCTCAGATATCTGCCAAGTTCACGACATCACCTGCTTCCGCTCTTTCTTCAAATGTCACCTCCTCATAGCGGCGTTCCTTGAAATCACCAGTTTAAAAATTGCAAAAACCTCCCAGCCGTTTTCCCCTGCCAACTTTCTCTATTTTACTGTTTGCCCTCTAAATTACCTTTTACTTACTTGTTCACCGTCTGTCTCCTGCACTACATTGTCTGTTTTATACCTTGCTATGTCCCCAGTGCCTCCAACGGTGCCTTATACATAGGCTCTCAAAAATTAGTTGTTGAATGGGTGAATTTATTACTACTATTATTAGTAGTACTATTACTACTACTATTTTATCTTTTTATAAAACAAAAAGCATATACTGAACTGAAATTCTATATCTTTAACTTAACAATGATGGTTAACAACCTTTTAAACTGCTATGTGATAGTCCATCCTGTAGGTGGGCCATAATTTGCCCCACCTGGTCTCGTGGACATTTAGTTGATTCCAATTTGGGGAGATCGCCAACAATGCTGCATTGAACTTCTAGAAACACATCTTTATGGGTACATGATATGCAATATTATGATCAAGACCATGGACTCAAGCCAGAAGGCGTGGGTTTGAATCCCGACTCTGTCATTTACTGACTGTGTGACCTTGGGCAATATAGGAAACTTCTCTGGACTTCAGCTTTTTCATCTGTAAAACAGAGTTTGTGACACCTTCCTCCTAGGTTTGTTATGCAGAATTCAGTGGATCAGTGAATAAATACACATAAAGAACTCGGCACAAGGCCTGCAATATTGCAACATCTCAATAAATGGAGACCATCTGTATGGCTCCTAAAAATATAAATTGCTGGATCACAGATTAATTCACATTTTTAATTTATAGTAAAAATGAACAGAGGTGGACCCAGGTTGTGTAGGGCCTGAAGTTTATGCGCAGCCGGAAGCCCTTGTGAAGAAAATAAAATAGACAAAGACAACAGACTGGTGATCAGAACGGAAGTGGGTAGAAGGGGAGCAAAACGGATAAAGGGGGTCAATTTTATGGCGACAGATAGAAACCAGACTTTAGGTAGTGAGCATCTTATAGTGTACACAGATATATAATTATATTGTATACCTGAAACTTACATATTCTTATTAACCAGTGTTATCTCAATTTTTAAAAAAAAAATTTTAAGAGTACAAGACTGCTGTCCTCTCTCTCGTGGGGTGACCTGGGCAACAGCTGGGACCGGTGCGGGTCTCTGCTGTATCTCCCCCGCTCAGTGGACCCCCCAAGCCTGCCCCTTTTCTTGCTTCCGGCCTGTTTCGTGGTCTCGGGGCCTCAACTCCTCAAACGGCCCAGTGAGAGGGCTCGGGCACCGTGTACCAGCGGAGCTCCAGGGCTTCCTCACCAGGAACAATTTTTGATTCGATATCTCACCACCTATGCCTACAGACGGGACAAGGGAAAAGAAAAGAAAGCACTTGCGATGATTTATCCATACTACAGAAGAATCAGAACCTTGTCAGTTTCTCACAGGTCTATTACCATGGAAGATATTAGCTAGTAAACATCTTCAAATGCTTAAGAAGAGGGAAGACGAGTAGGAGAAGGATCACAACGATGACCGTGGTGATGATGAAGAGGAACCTTAAGCCAAAAAAGCAGGGCTTTGACAGTTGGTCTGGTAAAGACCCTCCCAAATCAGCACCAGGGCTTTGAAATAAGCACAGCCCTGGGAGACCAGTCTGATGCTTTTCAGAGACTTCAGGTACATTGTATTCTTTCCTGCCTGAGACAGTGTATCTACTGCAGTTACACCAGAAATAACCAGAAGCCAAAAGGAACGTAACCCTGACAACAGCCTCTCTTTGGCCACCCATAGAGTCGGGCTCTGCCCATCCACCTGCAGCTACAGCGGTAGAGGCAAAGCTTAACTTTTTAATTTACAGATAGATTTTGAAGAGCTCCCATATGTGTATATTTTGAAACTAGTTCTAAAGTCCTAGATCCAGTTTCAGCCAAATATGTCGTTTGTTCCATTTTGTTATGTTGTTATGTGCATGTTCCTTTTTAATTTTTGTATTTCGAGAAAATTTGTTTGAATCGTCCAAATACTGCATGTCTTAACTGTAAAGACATAAAATTTGTTTTATTAAAAGTGGCACATGTTTTTACAGTAAAGAAGTACAGGATGGCAAGGTCGCCTCCCCAGGTGTTGGACAGAGCCTTCAAAGTCAGGGGCGCAGAGGCTTACATTATCATGTGTCTTACAGCAAAGCCACTTTGATGGCGGGCAGCTCAGCAAAAGGGTCATGCCCACTTCCACTGCCCCAAGCAGGACAAGGTGTGTGCTTTTCTGAAGCCTCACGGACACTGCGTTTTATCAACTTGTTTTGTTTTGTTTTGTTTTATCGCTTTTTGATCCTTGCTAATCTGATGGCCAAAGGGTGGAGTCTTGATGCAGTTTGAGTTGCAATTAAGTCTGAGATGAAGACACAGGCTCAGAGAGCTGAGGCCGCTGGCCCTAAGTCATCCAGCTACTGGGCAGCCGACCTGAAATTTGAACCCAGAGCTGCCTGGCCCCAAAGAGACAGGGAGAAGAGCAGGTAAGATCACGGACTCTGAAGTCAAGCTGCCCGGGTTCAAATCCCAGCTCTGCCACCTGAGCTGTGTAACCCTGGGGAATTCACTTAACTTCCCTGAGCCTTAGCATCCTTGTCTGCAAAATGATGGTAATGATAGTGCCACCCACTGGGCTGTGGGGGGAGGGAGAGGCTGAATAATGGCTCCTAAAGATATCCACGCCCTGATCCTTGGTAAAAGGGACTCTACAGATGCAATTAAGTTAAGAATCTTGAGATGGAGAGATTTTCCTGGACTACCCAATGGGCCCAGTGCAATCACAAAGGTCCTACAAAGGTCCTTAAAGGGAGAAGCAGAGGGAGACTGCACACAGAAGAAGGCCATGTGACACTGAAACGAGATGCTTTGTTCCCGGCTCTGAAGGTGCAGGAAGGGCCCACAAGCCAAGAAATGCAAAGAACCCAGCTGGGAAGATGCTTGAAAGCTTAGTAAACCGATTCTCCCCAGAGCCTCTCGAGAGTACGGCCCTGCCGACACCTTGATGATGTTGGTCCAGTGAAATTGATTTTGCACCGGACCCTCCATAACTGTCAGAGAATGAGTGTATTTGACAGCAGTGAGAGGCACTCGGAACAGTGCCTGGCACACAATAGATGCGTCGACTGTTACCATTACTATTTTTGAAACACCCTTGGCCGAATAACACCAGCTCATTGCCTATGGGCAATATGTCACAAATG